AATATGATAATATTACCCAATTTATTATAATATAAAATCTAAAAAAAGTCCCAAACTTCTATCTTCAAAAATACCAAAGTCTGTATTTCTACCAAAAATCATTTCCGATCGTTCAGTTATATGGCAGCTATAAGATATAGTCAGCCGATCGTTAATTTGGTAGGTTGGATTAACTGACCAAAAATATAATCTACACCAAGTTCCAGCTTTCTATCTTCAATAACACGAAAGTTGGGTCATTTCCGATCAATCAGTTATGTGGCAGCTATAGGATATAGTTGGCCGATCCTTATGAAATTGGGCATGTCATAATGTTTTGCCAAAAATAGCTCTAATGTCAAATTTGAACGCTCTAACTCTAAAAACACCAAAGTTATACTTTTTCCGATCAATCAGTTTTATGGCAGCTATAGGATACAGTCGGCCGATCCGGGCCGTTCCGACTTATATACTGCGTGCAAAAGAAAGAAGGGTGTGTGGAAAGTTTCAAGACGATAGCTTAAAAACTGAGAGACTAGTTCGCGTAGAAACGGACAGACAGACAGACGGACGGACATGCTCATATCAGCTCAGGAGGTGATCCTGATCAAGAATATATATACTTTATAGGGTCGGAGATGTCTCCTTCACTGCGTTGCACACTTTTGGACAAAATTATAATACCCTCTGCAAGGGTTTAAATATATATATATACTATATAATCAGACCCGTCAAGAGGGAATTTCGGATCCGGGGGGTATAACTTACGGGCCCTCATATAATGAGGAATATTTTTGAAAAAAACGAAAATTGTGTTAAATTTGTTAATCATTTGATAACTTTTCGCTGCTTAAGTAAGCAGTAGATACGTCCATCTGATGCAAATGGAGCTTCTACTCAACTGCCAATGCTATTATCATTCTAACAGACGAGTATGGTAGACGAGTAGAATGGTGAATGGTGAGACCACAGGTTAGAATGTTTCCCAGAAGTCAAAACACTAGCGCTGAGCACATCCTTTGGCATCTAGTCTTGACTTAAAGCGCTCTACACAGTCTTTCTTGTCAACCTTTACGCCAAATACCCACTTGCAGCCAATAGCCTTTTTATTTTGTGACAGATCCACTAGATCCCACGTGTAATTGGCCTTTAGCGCTTCCTTCTCCTTCTTAATCTATGCTGACCATTCCTACTTTATTTCTGACTGATTGGCCTCACCCAAATTTGTGTATGGAATGTGTGTATCCTCTGCCTTCAGGATATTCAGACAGTTGTATTGCTTACGGGGTCGCCCGGCTTGCCAGTTTTAACGAATCTTGGACACCCTGGTCCACGAGTTTCAGATACTGCAGGCTGCTCTGCCTCATCGCTGATGGCACTCTCGTATTCATGATTGTCCTGATCCTCTCCATTGTCCAAGCCATCCTCTGTCTGAAGCTGCTCATTATTGCTGTCTTGTGCCTGCTGATTATCTGCTACATAATCATCAAAAAATGTAATGTCCATTTTGTCGCTTGCAGATCCACCTGAATTGCTTTTACTTTCTTTCCGCGTTGTTTTTCTGCAAACACAACATAGTTTGAATGCGCTTAGTATTACGTCACGAGATTTTAAAAATAAACAACTGTATAGCGCGAGTGATCGTCAATGAATGTTGCAAAGTAACGCGCACCCCCAACAGACGGTTTGTTCATTGGTCCACAAATGTCCGAACGAATCAAATTCAATACTTCTTCTGAACGACTTTCAGACGTCCTTGGGAATGGTTTTACACTAATTTTACTTAATGCCATTTCCGCATTACACTGCTGTTTGTATTAGAGTACATACCCTGCTTCATTTTTATGTCAATTATAAACAAGTCACAATATTTGCGCACTTTCAATATGTCCACATATTGTTTATCTCTAATCACTGCTTTTTGATTATCAAAAATAACTTTATATCCATTTTCGACAGCTTTAGCTACCGATATAAAGTTTGTCTGTAACTCTTCGTCAACACATTTTTCAGTTCTATTGCAAAATTTTTCAGACTAACACACACAGTGCCAATGCCATCGGTACAGTCGCGCCACTGTCCAGACACCACCTTCTCAAACAAAATTTTAAGCATGTCTTCACTTATGTTCATTTCTATTTCGTTTAGCTTTTCCACTACATCCGAGAATTTACTTATATAGCTTTGCACACTTGCACTTTCTAGCAAGCTCATTCGCAGCAATCTTTTAAAAAATGCTATTTTTGTAGCTGGTCCGGGCGGCTGATAAACACTCATTAATTTCTCCCACGCCTTTTTTTGACGACGTGCAAATTTTAATAAAATTAACTTGCTTTACACCCAGCAACATGCTTGCTATTGCCTTTTCGTCCCGTGTATCGAACAATGCTTTTTGTTCATGGCTGTCCTTTTATCCAGTTGTCCACAGGGCCAGTTGTCGTACCATGTTGCCCATGTTTGCTCACAAAAAAAAAATGATGCTTGCCTGTTATTCCTCCTCGATATTGTGTGGATAACTCTATCCACTTCCCCCCTTTCTTCGCTATCATTAAATCCATACATTTCTATACCCAATGTATATGATTGCATATATATTTTCTTTGTGTCCCCTCTTCTTTTTTTTTTATTTTCTTTACCAATTTTTATAAATATATCTTTTTCCTATAAAAAAACTTTTGTTATTTTTGTAATTTGTAATTTTTAAAAATTTGTTACTTAAAACATTTTTATACCCTTGCAGAGGGTATTATAATTTTGTCCAAAAGTGTGCAACGCAGTGAAGGAGACATCTCCGACCCTATAAAGTATATATATTCTTGATCAGGATCACCTCCTGAGTTGATATGAGCATGTCCGTCTGTCCGTCTGTCCGTCTGACCGTCTGTCTGTTTCTACGCAAACTTGTCTCTCAGTTTTGAAGCTATCGACTTGAAACTTTGCACACACCCTTCTTCCCTTTGCACGCAGTATATAAGTCGGAACGGCCCGGATCGGCCGACTACATCCTATAGCTGCCATATAACTGATTGATCGGAAAAGGTATAACTTTGGTGTTTTTAGAGTTAGAGAGTTTAAATTTGACACTAGAGCTATTTTTGGCAAAACATTACGACATGCCAAATTTCAAAAGGATCGGCCGACTATATCTTATAGCTGCCATATAACTGAACGATCGGAAAAGACCCAACTTTCGTGTTTTTGAAGATAGAAAGCTTAATACAGATTCTATTTTTGGCCAGTTGATCCAACCTACCAAATTTCATTAGGATCGGCCAACTATATCCTATATCTGCCATATAACTGAACGATCGTAAATGGTACTTGGTAGAAATATCAACTTTCGTATTTTTGAAGATAGAAGCTTGGAACTTTTTTTTAGATTTTTTATTGTAATAAATTGGTTTTATTATGATGTAATCATAAGGATCGGCAAACTATATCCGATGTTTGCGATATTTATCCGGTTTTAACTGCAAGGGTATATCAACTTCGGCTCCGCCCGAAGTTAGCTTTGCTTTCTTGTTTTTTTTATATTTATCTTTTAATATTTTTTCCATATGTATTAATATATATATATGTATATATATATATTTATACCCTTGCAGAGGGTATTATAATTTTGGTCAAAAGTGTGCAACGCAGTGAAGGAGACATCTCCGACCCTATAAAGTATATATATTCTTGATCAGGATCACCTCCTGAGTTGATATGAGCATGTCCGTCTGTCCGTCTGTCCGTCTGTCTGTCCGTCTGTCTGTCTGTTTCTACGCGAACTAGTCTCTCAGTTTTTAAGCTATCGTCTTGAAACTTTGCACACACCCTTCTTTCCTTTGCACGCAGTATATAAGTGAAACTTGAAACTTTGCACACACCCTTCTTTCCTTTGCACGCAGTATATAAGTGAAACTTGAAACTTTGCACACACCCTTCTTTCCTTTGCACGCACTATATAAATCGGAACGGCCCGGATCGGCCGACTATATCCTATAGCTGCCATATAACTGATTGATCGGAAATGGTATAACTTTAGTGTTTTTAGAGTTTGAGAGTTTAAATTTTACATGAGAGCTATTTTTGGCAAAATATTTCGACGTGCCAAATTTCGTAAGGATCGGGCGACTATATCCTATAGCTGCCATATAACTGAACGATCGAAAATGACCCAACTTTCGTGTTTTTAAAGATAGAAAGCTGAAACTTAGTACAGATTCTTATTTTGGTCAGTTGATGCAACCTACCAAATTTCATTAGGATCGGCCGACTATATCCTATAGCTGCCATATAACTGAACGATCGGAAATGGTTTTTGGTAGAAATGTCAACTTTCGTATTGTTAAAGATAGAAGTTTGGGACTTGTTTTAAATTTTGTATTATAATAAATTGGGTTATATTATCATATTCTCATAAGGATCGGCAAACTATATCCGATGTTTGCGATATATAATCGGTTTTAACTGCAAGGGTATATCAACTTCGGCTCCGCCCGAAGTTAGCTTTTCTTTCTTGCAGTAAATAAGTCGGAACGGCCCGGATCGGCCAACTATATCCTATAGCTGCCATATAACTGATTGATCGGAAAAGGTATAACTTTGGTGTTTTTAGAGTTAGAGAGTTCAAATTTGACTATTTTTGGCAAACCATTACGACATGTCAAATTTCATTAGGATCGGCCGACTATATCCTATAGCTGCCATATAACTGAACGATCGGAAATGGTACTTGGTAGAAATATCAACTTTCGTATTTTTGAATATAGAAGTTTGGGACTTTTTTTTTAGATTTTTTATTTTAGTTAATTAGTGTTATTATCATGTAATCATAAGGATCGGCCAACTACATCCGATGTTTGCGATATTTATCCGGTTTTAACTGCAAGGGTATATAAACTTAGGCTCCGCCCGATGTTAGCTTTCCTTTCTAGTTTTTTTTTATTTAGTTTTTTAGTTTTTGTTTTTTTTTTTTTATTTTTAATTTTTTGAGTCACTTTTATGCCGGAAACTTCTCGTTCCCACGTTCGCCATTATGGACCATCTTCCGTCCCGTCCTCTCCACTTCTCCTGCCACCCTCGCGCATAGTTCCGGAGGCCATCTCTCCTCGGGGACCTCCGTCGCGCCTCTTTCCGACGCTGACCGCATCAGGATTGGTCTTTCCGACTGCTTCTCGGGACATGAGATTTGTCGGCCCAACGTCGGCCTCTCCGGCGCCGGCCATATCCACGACCCCTTCGTCCATGGCTCTTCCTCCTCGTGCTCCGTTCTTGGTCGGCGGTACTTTTGGCCATCGACTCGCTTCTCTTACGCTCCGTTCTTCGACCTGCTTCGGCCGCCGCACCACTTTCTCTTCCGGCTCCGTCCTTGGTCGTGGAGTCGGCGGTACTTTTGGCCATCGACTCGCCCCTCGTACCCTCCTGGAGGCCGCCTTCTCCTTGGCCTTCTTCTCTTCCAGCTCCCTCCTGGAGGCTGCCTCTGCCGCTTCCCGCTTCCTCTTGGTGGCCGCCTCTGCTGCTTCCCGCTTCCTCCTGGTGGCCGTCTTCTCCTTGGCCTTCTTCACCAGACGCCGTGTCCGCCGCTGCCGTGCCCTCCTGTCCTTGGCTATCGTTAGCGCTCGTTCGTGCCCGTCTAGCTTGAGTTGCCGCCACTCCAGGACGTTCCGTTGCCGAACCTGCTCCGCTCGCTCGGCCCTGGCTCGCGCCAGTTTCACGGCTGATTTCATCAGTGCCAGCCTCCGGCGGCCTTTCTTCACCCGCTGGTGCATAATCAGCCCGTCACTCCTGCGACGCTCCTCCACCTTGGTACAACCGACGGGTATCCACCTCCGTCCTCCTGTTGACCGCTTGACTGCCGACGCAGTCATTTCCTTTTTCCCGTTCCATGTCGGGTCGCCGACCACTTCCAAGTCGCTTTCTTCCGACGAGATCACTACTGTTACGGTTGACATGCTGATCGTTTAATGGACCGTACTCCTCCCACGGCTCCACTTTTATAGCAAACCCTGCTCCCGTTATTGAAATTGTTCCGTTGGGGCTCAGGGTTTCGCTTGCCTCCACTTCGGTGTTTTCCTTTTTCCATATACATACATGCGTACATATATCCATCTAAATATCGTGATGCACCTGTGCTTCATGGTGTATACGCACTTAGTGCTTTCCTCTAATTTATTTCTCTACATTGTGTCTCTTATGCCTTCGCGTCCTCTACATCTTGGCACTTTAGTTCACTCACGTGTGCCCTCTTCTCTTTGTTCGTGTCTCCGTGTCGTAAAATGGCAATCACCGGCGACACGAAATTCACGACCGTGTAGGGTCCGTCGTACCGTGGCGCTAATTTCGCCGTGAATCCTTCTGCCGCCTTTGACAAATGGTGCTCCTTTGCCCACACTATCTCCCCGACCTTTGGACTCCACTTCCGCCTCCTTAAAATATAGTGCCGGGCCTGTTCCTGGGCCGCTCGGATTCCATGTTCCTCCGCACTATCTCAAAGACTTATTTTAGCTTTGTCGCATTCTCGGTTGGCGTGCCTTGCCCCGCTCCTGTGCCGAAAGCATTTTCGTCGAACAGGGCTTGCGGCATCCTTGGCTCCCTGTCCTGCGTCACAAAACACGGCGAATACTCCGTGGACTCCGACACTTCCGAGTTTACTGCCAGCATTAGCTCTGTCCAGTGCTCGTCCCACGCCCTTTGATCTTTTCCAGCAAACTGGGCGATCATCGTTTTGACCGTCCTATTAGCTCTTTCCGTGGGATTCTACTGCGGTGTGTAGGGCGCGGTAAACTGGTGGCGCACGCCGAGCTCCCCGAGGAACTTTTTAAAGCTTCGGTTGGTGAACTGTACGCCGTTGTCCGTCACCATTATCTTTGGTACTCCATACCGAGCGACAATCCTTTCTCGGATCGCTTTTTGTAGCGCCTCGGTTGTTGCTTTTCGCAGTGGCACTACCAACGTCCACTTCGAGAACCGATCATTCATCACCAGGACCATTGTGTTTCCATGCTTCGACCAAGGGCAAGGGACCCACAAAGTCCGCGCATACAGTTGCCCATGGTTCCTCCGGGACCTGCGTCAGCATTTGTCCTGCTGCTTGCATCTGGCATGGTTTGTATTTTAGGCAAGTTTCGCATCTCCTGACATATTCCGGATGTCTCTCTGCATCCCTGGCCAAAAGTATCTGGCGACCACTCTGGCTATTGTTTTCCTCACGCCTAAGTGTCCTGCTGTTGGTGCATCATGATTCTCTTTGAGGACCTGCTGCCTCGTCTCCGTTGGCACACACAACTTCCATGACGCCACTTCCTCGCTTCCTGCTCTATGCGGTACGTGGCGATAGATTAAACCGCCCTCTTCGAAGTAATCCGGGAACTTCTGCGGACTTGTCTTCATTTTCTTTTTTAAAGCGCTTATCCACACGCATTCTTTGATCTCCGCCTCCGTGGTACTTCTAAGTTTCTCCAATACTGGCTGGCGGGATAGCGCGTCGGCGACTACGTTGAGTTTTCCCTTCCGGTAGCTGATGACGTAGTCATATTGTTGCAGCTCGAACACCCATCTCTCTATTCTTCCCAGCGGGCTCTCTATGTTGTTGAGCCACTTCAGCGCCATATGGTCCGTGATTACGTCGAACTGGTACCCCTCCAGATAGGGTCTCATCTGCCTGATCGCCCATGCTATGGCTAGGCATTCTTTCTCCGTTGCCGACTAATTTTTTTCAGCTCCAATCAGCGTTCGACTGGCGTATGCGATCACTCGTTCGCCCTCCTCGGTGTCCTGGGTCAGGACCGCTCCGTCGCCGTAGTCGCTTGCGTCCGTTTGCAGCACGAACCTTTTCTCAAAGTCTGGGCACGCCAGTACTGGATCTTCCGCCAGCCGTGCCTTTAGGGTCTCGAACGCCTCCTGGTGCTTGGGGGTCCATTCCCATTTCGTCCCCTTTCGTAGCAGATCCCTTGACGTTTGTCGGTGGTTTTAGCTCTGTAATCGCGGCGACGTTTCCCGGGTCCATGCCGATTCCCTTGCTCGTTATTCGGTGTCCCAAGTATAGCAGCTCCTGCCTGAAGAAATTACATTTTTCCGCATTTATCCGCAGGTTCGCCGCTTTCAACCTCCTGAACACCTCCTTCAAGTTCTCCATGTGCTCTTCCTTGGTGCGTCCGATCACGATGCTATCGTCTTGATTCGCGAATGCGTGTGGAGCCATGTCCGGCCCTATGACCTTATCAAGGGCCCTCTGAAACATTGCCGAGGCTGAGTGCAATCCGAACGGCATCACCTTCCATTGGTACAAGCCCTTTCTTGGAACGGTGAAGGCGGTGTACTTTCTGCTTCCTTTCTCTAGAGGGATCTGCCAATACCCGTCCTTCAAGTCGAGGCTGCTGAAGAATTTGGCCTCCCTCAGCTGTTCTAAAATGAAGTTTATCCGTGGCATTGGGTACGCATTCTTTATTGATTTTGCGTTGATCTGTCGAAAGTCTACGCACATCCTCCATTGACCTGTCTTCTTTTTCACCATCACAATGGGTGAGCTGTAGGCGCTATTCGAAGGCTCGATGCATCCTTTTTCCAGCAGCTCCTCCACCTTCGCGATTATTTCCCCCTGTATTTTTGGGTTTTTGGAGTAATATCTCTGTTTTATGGGAATGTCGTCCTTCATCGTGATTCTGTGCTGCGTTATGTTCGAGCAGCCTCTTTGGCCCGCGAGCGCCTCCAGCTCTCTCTCGATGAATCTCTTATCGCGTTCCTCCTCCCATTTCTCTGGGCATCCGGCCACTGCTACGGACAGCCTATATTCCAGACAGCCGCCCCATTTCTCCCTTTTGGGTATCGTAACGCGGTGGCCTGCGCATGTCACCGTTGCGCCAAATTCGCTGAGGAAGTCCCATCCTAGCACCAGACTGTCCTCCATGCCTGGCATCACCAGCAGGTTCAGGGTCCTTGTTTTGTTGCCGAAGCTTACTCTTGCCTGGAGTGCGGCGCGTGTCTCCGTATGGCTTCCATTGGCCAACTTCACCCGCCTCCTTGTTGCGATGCGTTGCCCGGTGATCTCCGGGCCCTCTGCTAGTTCCTCCGCGATGAAGCTTGTCGTTGCTCCTGTATCCAGCATGGCTTTCACTTCTTTGCCCTCTACCTCGATGGTCGCTGGCAACTGCTGCTCTTCACCGGAAAGTCCTCCTATCAGTTTTGAGAGGCAGCACCGTGCGATCCGTGCTCTCCTCCCTGTTGCTGGGACTGCTGCGCATTTCCCGACCTTTGGCAGCATTCTGTGCTCCTTACCCCTATTGCGCCGCACATCTTGCAGAACAATATTCGTGGGTTCCTGCATCCGCTGGCCCAATGGCCCAATGGCCCTTGCCCCCGCATCTGTTGCATGCTTGTGCTGGGTTTCAACAGAACCCTGCCTTGGTCCTGCTGTCCATTGCCGATCTGGTCGATGTTGGGCTGCCCTGTGATGGGTCTCAGGCTGCCATCTTGGCATCCACCCGTGACTTGTGTTTTGCTGCTCCGGCGGACCTTGGCGCACCTCCTCCCTCTGCCACCTTGGCGTCCATTGAGCGTTTTGGACGGCCGGGTGGTGGAACTCGTCCCATGGCGTTTTCTGGGTCCATTGCCTTCCATGGTACCTTGCTGTCTCGCCATGCTGCGGTTGTTCTCTTGGCCACCTCTCGTCTACGGCCGGTTGATTATGGCTCCATCGCTGTTCTGTGGCAACTGGCCTCTTCTTCTTGCGCCAACTCCTCGAACTCTTCTGCCAGGCCCATCACCTCCTCTAAGGATGCGCAGGCGTATGGCCTTATAAACATCTTCATCCTTGGCATGCAATTCTCGACGAGCCTCTCGATCACCTCCTTTGTGGTTTTTCTCAGTGGCTTCATTAGGGACTGAAGGTCCACCATGTACTCTTTGAATGGCTCTCCACGCCGCTGCTTTCGTTGGCGAACTTGATCCGCCAATTTCTCGAAATATCCTTTCGGCAGTAAAAAGTTTTCAAAGCTCGCTTTGAACCTTGTCCATGTTGGCCATTCTTCATCGTTCATGATGAACCATCTTTGAGCCCTGCCCTGTAGTAATTCTGGCATAGCCCTCGGGATCGTGTTTATGTCCAAGCCATAGGTTTTCGCGGACCATGTCACTCGGTCGTGGAACTGTAGCGGGTCTCCTGTTCCGTCGAACCAAAAGGACCAGTCCCGCACCTGTCTGGCCACTTTGGCATAATCCACTGGGGCCGGGACATACTTTCTCGATTGTGGCTCCATGCTCCTTCCTATTTTTGGCTCTGGTACCGCTAAGCTAGCTATAAACCTTTTGGTCTCGCTGGTCGCTCTCTGCCTGGGGGCAGAGCCTTTCCTCGAGCCCGTGAGTCAGTGCCAGTACTTCCTCGTCCTTGGACTCGTCGACCCAATTCGCCACTAGGGATCTCATGGTTTCCACCGTCCCGTCTGCTGGTAGACCGAGTTCTCTGCACACCTCGCTCAGCTCCTCCTTTTTAAGCGTGTGATCCAGTTTTTTTTTTTTTTTCTTTTTTTGTTTTTTTTTTTTTTTTTGCTATTTTACTTCTAGACTCTGCAATCACGTTGTTTGGGCGCCAGGTGTAACGAACTGTTCCTACTGCTTCCGCTCGCCACAGTTTGCCGCGGCTAGCTCACAGAGTTTGCTGGTCGGTTCCACCGAATTTATAGTTCGACGTGATTGCCCGAGCCCAGAAAAAATACAAATAATAGCGAAACGTTATAAACTCCTTCGTATTTCGAAGAGCATTTCGTATGCTCTTCTCAATACAAAAGATCTGATTCTTGATCCCGGACACAGGCTCTGCTTCGAGTCCTTGCTTGACGCCGGCGCTTCCTTCTGGCCGTCTCCGTGGCTCCGGCCGCTGTCGCTGCTCCGTCGCTGCTACTGTCGCGGCTACCGATGCTGCTTCCGTTGACGTAGGCCCCCTAAACTTCGCCCTTTC